CTGGCCAAAGGGACCAGGCAGCCTCGATTGTAGCAGCAGTTTGAGATAAAGTTTATCTTTTAGATACAATCATCAGGGTAAGTAATCTTGGGAGGACATGTATGCTTATAGTGTCTTTTAAGGAAGGACACCCAAAAGATTAAGGAATAAGGATTCCAGTAAACACTCGGGGGTCTGCACGTACACAGACTTGTTTGGAAAGGTCAAGGAATAACTAGGGACACCTCCTTCAGCACTCCCCTAAGTCGGAATTCTGATAAACAGGGCAGGCGGCCTTCTGCATACTTCCCTTTTCTCATAATGTCCTCCTTACAAACTTTCCAACCAAGTCTCATGTGCTCCCCAACACAAAAGTAGAAGAAACTATGATAGGAACTTGAGCTTTATATGAATTCTTTAACTTATTTTCAGCTCTTTAATTGCTTTTACAAGTACATTTGTAATGTTGAAGTTATGATAACTGAACCTTTGAACACCTTGCTCAGAAGATAATGTTACTTTTAATTATTTAGTTTGTGAGAAGTGCCTTTTAGTACGTAAGGTGGAGCATTTTTTGGTTTCTTGCTCATGATTGTACTGTTGGAGACTATATATGTGGTTCCCTGGGGGCAGCATCCAAGAATCCAATGGTGGTTGTATCAATAAAAATGTGCTTGCTTGTACATTATCTATACTAATAATAGGGTAATATGCAAATTGGTCAGGACACCATCACAATAACAACTGATCATCAGGCTACATGCATAGCAGGTGCAGGTAGGCAGGAACTTGCAGGGACGGGGGCGGGGGAGGCAGGGCCTGGCGTAGGGTGGCCTGTACTCCCCACATGGCAGTGGCGGCTGTGAGTGGCACCAGGCGGAGCCTGCGAGCCAAGCTGAGGCAGCGCCTGCAGACCATCAGTGCCGAGGAGCAGCTGTGCCAGTCCCGCCTCCTGGCCAGAAGGTGCGCGATCACGGGGACAGCCACAGTGGTGGACCAGATTAACATCTTCCTGGCCGCGCTGCACAGATTTGCGAATCTGCGCAGGCACAAGCCTTTGATGCGTGCATCCTCTCCCCCTCACCTCGCGTGCGAACATCCCCCAGCATGCTGTCATCCACGTGCATGCACAACAGTCCCAGACCATGTTCCCCAACTCCTTTGCTGCACTTCCATCAACCCCGGTGTGCCTACGGCCCCCACACAATGTGTGCACATCCCTTCCAGTACGCTCACGTCCTTTGGAGTGTGTCGGGGTGGTCGGGGCAGGTGGCTGTGAGATGACAGTGAGAGGACAGAGTGGTGATGCCCTGTTCCCACGGAGGACAGTGTGGCAATGGAGAACACCTCCATGGGACTAATGCAGGTGCTGAGGCGGGAGCAGGTGCGGACAGACACACCTGGTGGGCGTGGGGCAGCCCTTGCTGAGGTGCCTTGGGTCAGTGTTCAAGATCAGGAATCCAGAGGAGGTGAGGCGTTCCGTCCTCTCAGTGAAACGGTGGGAGAGTCGGGTGACCACAGACAAGGAATGTGTACTTGGGGTGCCGGCACTCATGAGCTGACTGAGCCTTGCTCGCTCAAGGCCTAACGCACTCCTGCCAGGCAGCAGGTGACAGGATGTGCTTTTCCGAGTTAATGAGAGAAAACATTGATTCTCCCGCTGCCCGCAAAGGTGGAAATCGGAGTGGGGAGACACACGGGGGGTGAACAAGGTTCCCTGTCTGGGGGTTCCAAACCCGCTGTTGGTTCCTTTCACTACTGACTAGAGATATATAAGGTGTCCCCCCAAAATGTATACACACTTTGAATACCTACAAATTCTAATGGGTTTAATTATGAAGAGGAAGAAACAACAATGGAGCTGCTATCTGTTAAAAGTGCAGGCCTAAACCAGCAGTCGGACATCCCCCGAGGGGTCCCAGATTGGAGAGGGTGCAGGCCGGACTAAGGGGCACACACTACCCTGCACGAATTTCATGCACCGGGCCTCTAGTCTACACTAATAAAAGAGAAACATGGTAATTGGCATATAACCGCTACCCTTCCCATTGGCTAATCAGGGGCGATATGCAAATTAACTGTCAGCCAAGATGGCGGCCGGCAACCAGGCAGCTTAAACTGAACATGAGGCTTGCTTGCTTCAGTGACGGAGGACTGCAACGTTC